GGGAATGTTTATTGCAGCACAATTCACAATAGCCAAGATAGGCAATCAACTTAAGTGTCCATCAGCAGATGAATGTATACAGAAAATGTCATATATTTACAAAACAAAATACTATTGATCCATAAAAATGATTAAAATGCTTTCATTTGTGGCAACGTGGATTAGCCTGGAGTACATTATGCTAAGTAAAAGAAGTCAAGCACAGAAAAATAAATGCTGCTTATTCTCACTCATATATGGAAGCTATAAAAGTTAACCTCATAGAAGGAGAGTAGAATACTTCTGTGAGTGGTTCCAAGAGGCTGGGAAGTGTAGGGGGACAGGGAAGCTGGCAGAAATAGGTTGGTTAACAGATACAAAGTTGCAGTTAGATAGAAGGAGTAAATTCCAGTATTCTATAGCACTATAGGGTGACTATAGTAAATAATAATCTATTGTATTTTTTCAAATAGCTAGAAAACAAAATTTTGAACATTCTCAACCTAAAGAAACGTTAAAGGTTTGAAGTGATCAATATGCTTATTAGCCTTAGTTGATCATGACACATGTATACATGTATTGGCATATTACATTGTGCCCCATAAATATGTACAATTGTATGTCAATTAAAAAAACAATAAGAGGACGATCCAAGATGGCCGTTTAGGAATAGCTCAGGATTGCAGCTCCCAGTGAAAGTGCAGAGGGTGAGCGGACGCCGCGTTTTTATTGCCCACAGACTAGGAAATTCCCGGGCAGAGGTGCTCCACGGTCGCCAGCGCGGCTGTTTCGGCCAGTGCGGTTGTGCCAGCCAGCGCCGCTGCTTTGCCCTGTGCGGGTGCTTTGTCGGCGCCCTGGAGCCGCGGTTCTCCGTACAAAAAACACCGGTCCAGGGGCCCTTTTGGCTGCCAATTGGAGCCACGGGAAGTCGCCCATTCGCCGGTTCAAAAAGGGGACTGAGGAGAGAACCAGGACAGTAGATTCCAGGGCCAAAAAAAAAAAAAAAAAAGCGCCACAAACCTCAGTGCCGCTGTTTAGGCCAGCGCAGTGAGTGGCCGCAGGGGAAAACAAACAGACCCTGGCGCCTCTTCAACAGGCGACTGGAACACCAACTTAAAAAAGGCTCTGAGGCAGGGAGCCAGGCGATCAGGCTCGGCTGGCCCCACCCCCACAAAAGAACAGCAATCAGAAACTCTGGATTGAGAGTTTCACAGCAAGCGCAGCTGAACCCGGGATGGTCCAGCTCTGTGGGGGAGGGGCGTCCGCCATTACCGAGGCAGCCCGCTGTTGCCAAGGCAACCTGCCAAAACAGAGACTCCGCCCCAACAGAGGCGGACCACCATCGCCAAAGCAGTTCTAACTACACCCATATAAACAGGACTGCAGGGAAGTTCACTCGGCAGCGGGGCGGAGCCCACAGCGGCTCAGCAAAGCTGCTATAGGCCGACAGTGACTAGGCTGCCTCCTTGCTGGGCTGGGCAGGTCTGAAGGAAAGAAAAAAAAAAGAAGGCGGCAGCATAACGGAAACTCATAAATAAAGCCCTAAATCCCTGGGACAGAGCACCTGGGAACAAAAAGCAGTTTATGAGTTCTGCTGCAGCAGACCTAAAAGTACCTGCCCAGCAGCTCTGAATGAACAACAACAGAGCTCCCAGCTCACCATTTGAGCTCCTATAAAGAAGAGACCGTCTCCTCAAGCAGCTCCCTGACCCCTATATATCCAAAAAGACACCTCATAAAAGAGAGATCAGATTGACACTAGGCGGGTATCTGTCTGGGACAAAGATAGCAGAAGAAGAAAACTGGTAACAACCCTTGCTGTTCAGCAGCTGCTGCAGGTGAACCCCAGGCAAGCAGGGCCTGGAGTGAACTTCAGCAGACCTACAGCAGAGGGGCCAGACTGTCAGAAGGAAAACCAAGAAACAGAAATAACCTCATCATCAACAAACAGACCGTCAATCTGAAAGATTTGAGACCCAATCTGAAAGCCAGCAACTACAAAGTCGACAGGTGGATAAATCCTTAAAGATGGGAAGAAACCGGCACAAAAAGGATGAAAACACCTGAAACCAGAACACCTCTCCTCCTAAAAGGGATCACAACTCCTCACCAGCAAGGGAACAAGGTTGGATGGAGAACGAGTGTGATGAAATGACAGAATCAGACTTCAGAAGGTGGGTAGTAAGAAACTTCTGTGAACTTAAAGAACATGTTCTAACCAAATGCAAAGAAACTAAGAACCTTGAAAAAAGATTTGACGAAATGCTAATGAGAATGGACAAAATAGAAAGGAATATAAGTGAATTGATGGAGCTGAAAAACGCAACACGAGAACTTCGTGAAGCATGCACAAGTATCAACAGCCGAATTGACCAAGCAGAAGAAAGGATATCAGAGGTCGAAGATCAACTCAATGAAATAAAACGAGAAGGCAAGACTGGAGAAAAAAGGGTAAAAAGGAATGAACAAAGTCTCCAAGAAATGTGGGACTATGTGAAAAGACCTAATCTACGTTTGATAGGCGTACCCGAATGCGACGAAGAGAACGAATCCAAGCTGGAAAATATTCTTCAGGATATTATCCAGGAAAACTTCCCCAACCTAGCAAGGCAGGCAAACATTCAAGTCCAGGAAATACAGAGAACACCACAAAGATATTGGTCAAGAAGAGCAACCCCAAGGCACATAATCGTCAGATTCACCAGGGTCGAAATGAAGGAGAAAATACTAAGGGCAGCCAGAGAGAAAGGTCGGGTTACCCATAAAGGGAAGCCCATCAGGCTCACAGCAGATCTCTCAGCAGAAACCCTACAAGCCAGAAGAGAGTGGGGGCCAATATTCAACATCCTTAAAGAAAAGAACTTTCAACCCAGAATCTCCTATCCAGCCAAACTAAGCTTCATAAGTGAAGGAAAAATAAAATCCTTTGGGAACATGCAAGTACTCAGAGATTTCGTCACCACCAGGCCAGCTCTACAAGAGCTCCTGAAAGAGGCTCTACACATATAAAGGAACAACAAGTACCAGCTCAACTAAAGGGCAAAACAGCCAGCTAGCACCAAAATGGCAGTATCAAATTCACACATAACAATATTAACCCTAAATGTAAATGGACTAAATGCCCCAATCAAAAGACACAGACTGACAAATTGGATAAAAAGACAAAACCCATCGGTGTGCTGTATCCAGGAAACCCATCTCACATGCAAGGATACACAAAGGCTCAAATTAAAAGGATGGAGGGAGATTTACCAAGCAAATGGAGAGCAAAAAAAAAGCTGGAGTTGCAATTCTCATCTCTGATAAATTAGACTTTAAAGCAACAAAGATCAAAAGAGACAAAGAGGGACATTACATAATGGTAAAAGGATCAATGCAACAAGAAGAGCTAACGATCCTAAATATATACGCACCCAATACAGGAGCACCCAGATACATAAGGCAAGTTCTTAATGACTTACAAAGAGACTTAGACTCCCACACAATAATAGTGGGAGACTTTAACACCCCACTGTCAACATTAGACAGATCAACCAGACAGAAAATTAACAAGGATATCCAGGACTTGAACTCAGACCTGGACCAAGCAAACCTAATAGACATTTACAGAACTCTCCACCCCAAATATAGAGGATTATAAATGCTTTTTGCTAGTCTATCACAATTTTGATAGTTACACATTTTTATAAACTACCCCTTTGTGCTTTCTAAAGAAGCAATTGTTGTGTCTTAAAGAAACCATGGTTGGCTCTTCCGATTCACCCATGGTTATCCAGGACTAGCCCGATTTCATTGTTTCTAGATCATTTTTTTTTTAATACAAATTCAGTTACTGAATTGATTGCTCAGGGTAAGATTTTTTTTTAAAATAAAACATTTATAATTTACTCTGAAATCCTGGTCTAGATGTTTCTCTATGCTGTTCCATTGTTTTCTGTTGACTGACACTTTTTTCCTCTCATTCCTGCTGGCTTGGTATATTCAGACAAACTCCCTTTGTTTTAACGTCAGAAGCTGTTCATAGACAGTTCTCAAGGGAAACCTGGCTGACTAGTTTGTCCATTTACATCACAGAATCATGGCCTTGGAGCATCAGATTTAGAAAAAAAGGGAGAGCTAGCAGGAATATTTGCTCCCTCTGTGTTAACTTAGTCAGGTGGAAGGAACTCATTACTCTGTGGATGGCAATACCTAATTTGGTAGGACAAGCGGAAAATCTGCTGGTGGAATAAAGTAGCATGTGGGCATTAGCTTCATCCTAATGGCACTGCCTCAATTGCTTAAAGAAGTTCTGTATGCCCTTAAAATAGTTGACTTTGAGACTCAGCTTGTCTGCCAAGACTACTGTTCAAGAGAGAACAATCATATTCTACAGATCTCTCATTGCCCCTAGTGAGACTGAGCAGGTAGAGTGACTGGAATCCTATGTGGTTGGAATAGCTGAGAAGTGCTCAATAGCTCCATAGGCAGTGAGGAAGGCCCAATATGAACACCTCAAGAAACAGCTCATGACAAACAGATCTTGATTATTTCATCCTGGATAGAAAACAAAAACTAGCCTATTGGTAATCTTCAACAGTTTGTATGCTGCTGTGCTACAGAATTTCTCTAATTGTTAGCCAAGATTTGAATGAAACATAATACCCTCTTTCAGTCAGTTATTAGAGGATTTGGCTGTATCTTTTCATGGAAAACTGGCTTAGATCCAGAGATGAACAGTGTCACAGAATTGATTGCCTAACACATCTGAAGTTTAAGCCCAGTTGTAATTTCTGCCATTGGGATCTTTGAAATTCCCGATTTTTCATAATAAAACACTCTTTACTTAAGCTAGTTTGAGTGGATTTTTTTTTCTTTTTTTTTTTTTTTGCAATCATGCAAATTCCTAAGACAACGTCAAAATTCCCTTTGCCTTGGTAAAGAATCTATTAAATGAGCATGATCAAGATGCCTTTATAAATGAGGATTTTTTCAGCATAATTTTTGGCCAAAAATAATTTCAAAAGAGGATAATACAGTACTATTTGTGCCGACAAGAGACGCCTGTTGGCCAGCTCCATTGCTTCAATGTTAAAGGTCTCAACTATTTCTTTGTGACAGTGTGAACATTTCACCTTCTGATGTTCTGTTGTTTCTTCTTGGCTCAACTAAATAAAACAAATAAAAGAATGAAAAATACATGAATATTAACATATTGTTTAGCGTAACCCACAAACAATTTTTATACCAGTTTGGGTTGAAAAATGGTAGCAAATCTTGTAGATATAGAAAAATGTTCAGATTCTCATCATTTGCTCAAATGTCCTAATCATTTGCTCAGTTCTAGAAGGTAAAATAGTTGTCAGTTTTGCTAGAAGGACTTATGTCATATCTTTACTTTTACATGGCATTATTAACACTTTAAAAAGCTATCACATATATGACCATACTTTACACTAACAGTTTTCAAAGTGTGGTCTCCCAGCAGCATCAGAATCACTGGGGAATTGTTAGAAATGTGCATTCTCAGGTCCCACTTTAGACCTACTGAATCAGAACTGGAGGAGTGGGCAGCAATCTGTGTTTCTAAAAACTCATTTGAAAATTTTGCTGCAGCCAAAGCTTGACAACCACCGCTTTAAAATGATCACTTAATATAAAATAGAAAGTGAACATACATGAAGGAAATGGGAGTATGAATAATTTACACAGATGAGAAACTGAAGCTTAGAGAAAATTAATAATATTCTCAAAATTACAAGGCTATTTGTTAAGTGAGAAAGCTATGCTGTAAAGCCAGACTTTCTGATTCCAAGGTCAGTATCCTACCTGAAACTCTATAATATCCCTCATGTTTGCATCATGAAAAGGAGAATGTAGTTGTTTGATCATCTGCCTTCTGAAACAGATCAGGTAAGAGAGTGGTGGCCCCAACACTGGCTGCTACATTAGAATTAGCTGGGTGGTGGATTTAAAATCTTCCTGGGACCCTGCTCAGACCACCTGCATCAAAATCTTCAGAGAGTAGGTGAAAACTCAATCAATATTTTTAATAAGCTGTCTAGATAATTTCTGATGCGGACAAGTCAGCAAAAGTCTACAACCAGATATTGAAGGCTACTAGAGAAATCCTTGGATATTACTTGGTACTTGTTCCATCCAAAAATACTGGCAGTATTCCTGTAGGCACAAAGCTTAGTTCTAAATTCCTATCTGGCACTTTAAGCACTGATCCAATGGATATGAAATGGATTTTTCAGAATCCTATTTCATAGAGACTATCTCACCTAAGCACTCCTAGAAGTTGGCCCCTCATATTGTGTGATGCAAAAAAGAAACAAAAACATTGTAAAAAACATTGAAAACTGGACATGATGTAGGACATGGAAAAGTGCAGTAGCTGTGAAGACCCCAGGACAATTTTACTCTTTCCCTTTAGGGAAACCATGACTGATTAGCTGAGTGCTCTTCAAAGAAAAAGTCTGACTGCAGATATCTGAAAGCATATCTCAGAAACAGAAGGTGACATCTCCCACAGCTAAACTTATGATATTGGCTTTGAATTCTATTTTATATTAAAAATACTATTAACCATAAATTAAGGTCTAGCAAATGCTTAGATATACAATAGCCCAAATAAATAAACAAAAGCCCTTGACCCCTCCCAATTTGGTCAACAACTAGCCATTTTCTAGAGCTCATTTTCAGACACACACACACACACACACACACGCACACGCACACGCACACGCACACATACTTTTTTAAAGAAAGGCTTTCTCTTTACTGCCCAGGCTGGAGTACAGTGGTACAATTGCAGCTCACCACAGCCTCAACCTGTCAGGCTCAAGCAATCCTGCCACCTCAGTCTGCCGAGTAGCTGGGACTACAGGTGCACACCATCACCTGGCTAATTTTTGTATATTTCATAAAGAGGTGGTTTTGGCATGTTGCCAGGCTAGTCTCAAATTCCTTGGCTCAAGTAATCTGCTTGCCTTGGCCTCCCAAAGTGCTGGGATTACAGGCAGGAGCCACTGTGCTGCTCTATGATCTCTTTTGGAGGGAGCTCCAATACACAGCTTCCTCTTTTGAATTTAAACATATATATTTTAAACATATATACTCAAAGGGGTTATGGCTTCTACTTTGCCCCACAGCGATCATCAAATTCCTTAAGACTCCCCTTTACTAATTTATTAAATAGAGTTATCAACACTACTCTGTCAATTACAAATATTAAAAATTGTGAATTAATATTTATGACCTAGTTTATACTTCAGTATAATCAAATCTGCATTGAAGCAATAAAAGAGATATTACTTGCTTACCACATAGGGGTTTTCAAGTACAACTGCTTTCTCAACCATGTTCCAATCAGCATTAGCAAGATCTCTGTCAAATTTAAGTGCAGAGGCTGCAGACTTGGTTAGCTCTTGAAAGTGTCGAAATGTGTAACAAACCGATTTATATTTTGTTGACGTGATATCACGAAGATCTTTGATACAAACATACATTTGATAAATAGTAGAAACACTATTTTGATATGGGTTAGAAAGCTTCCTTTGTTTTTAACTTATTGTCACTAATCTTTAAATAAAATTTCAACATAAATTGTTTAATAATGGGAATACTTTAGAGTTAAAAATTTTCTGCTTTCATATTTCTTCTCACAAAAGGTGAGGCATATAATAGTAACGGCTAATGTTTATTAAGTGCTTACTATATTCTGCAAATCACATCTCAGCACTTTGAATGCATTACGTCTTTTGGTTATCTGGCCACCTTTTGAGGTGAGTCCTTTTTTCCACTTTAACACATGATGAAACAAACAGAGGTATAATGGTTAGTTTTATGTGTCAACTTGTCTGGGCCACAGGGTGCTCATATATAAGATAAACATTCTGGGTGTGTCTGTGAGACTGTTTTTGGAAAAGAGTGACATTTAAATTGGTAGTCTGAGTAAAGTATATTGCCTTTCCCAATGTGGGTGGGCCTCACCCCATCTGTTAGAGGCCTCAATAAAACAAAAGTCTGAACAAGAGATAATTTGTTGTCTCTGCCTGATGGTCTTTGAGCTCGGACTTCAGTCTTCTCCTTCCTTCAGACTTGAGCTGGAACTTGTACCATTGGCTCTTTTGGTTTTTAGGCCTTTGGACTGCATACTTTGGGAGTTAGCTTCCATAATTGCATGAGCAATTAAGCACAAATGATAAATTATCTGCCTTATCCTTTAAGATTCCAATCTCTCAAACTATCTTTTTTTTCTAGAACATATCAGTTTCTAGTTCCCTAAGAAATTTAGCACCTGTTCTGTTTTCTGATGATCATTATGTTAAGTGAAATAAGCCACACACAAACATCACATATTCTCGCTTATTTGTGAGATATAAAAATAAAAACAATTTAACTCACAAACATAGAGAGTAGAATGATAGTTACCAGAGGCTTGGAAGGGTGGTGGGAGAATGCGGGCAGGTGGGGATGGTAATGGGCACAAAAGTATAGAACGAATAAATACAACTTGTTATTTGACAAGACAATAAGGTGACTATAGTCAATAATAAATTAATTTTACATTTTAAGAATAATTTAAAGAGTTACATTTTAAATTTTGAACATTCTTAAAATTTTACATTTTAAGAATAAAGAGTAGTTGAATTGTTGATAAGTCAAAAGATAAATGCCTGAGGGAATGGATACCCTATTCCTTATGATGTGCTTATTTCATATTACATGCCTATACCAAAACATCTCATGTACCCCACAAATCTATGCTTTAACCCAGAAGTAAGGCTACATGCTTATAGTCATCTGATGTTTGGCAAAGCTGATAAAAACAGACAATGGGGGATGGATTCCCTGTTCAATAAATGGTCCTGGGATACTTGGCAAGCTGTATGCAGAAAATGAAACTGGACCCCTACCTTTCACTATATACAAAAATTAACTCACAATGGATTAAAGATTTAAATGTAAGACCTCAAACTATAAAAGTTCTAAAAGAAAACCTGGGAAATAACCTTTTCAACATCAGCCTTGAGAAATAATTTCTGTCTAATAATTTCTGGTGAAGTCCCCAAAACAACTGTAACAAAATGAAAATTGACAAGTGAGACCTAATTAAACAGAGTTTCTGCAAAGCAAAATAAACTATTAATCGATTGAAGAGACAACCTATAAAATAAGAGAATATATTAGCAAACTATGCATCTGACAAAAATCTAATATCCAGAATCTAAAAGGAACTTAAAGCAACAGGCAAATAACAAATACCCCATTTAAAAATTAGCAAAGGTTAAGTGTCCATCAACAGATGAATGGATAAAGAAAATATCATACATATACACAATGGTATACCATTCAGCCACTAAAAAGAATGAAATCTTGTCATTTGCAACAACATGGGTGGAACTGGAGGGCATGTTAAGTGTAATAAGCCAGGCATAGACAGACAAACTTTGCATGTTCTCACTTATTTGTGGGAGCTAAAAATTAAGACAATGGAACTTACGGAGATAGAGACTATAATGATTATTAAACAGAGCCTGTGAAGAGTAGTGGGAGGTGACGGGAAATTTGGATGATTAATGTGTACAAAAAATAGAAAGAATGAAAAAGGTTTGGCATTTGATAGCATGATAGAGTGGCTATAGTCAAGAATATTTAATTGTGCATTTAAAAATAACTAAAAGAGTATAATTGGACTGTTTGTTACACAAAGGATAAACAATTGAGGTGATGGATACTCCATTTATGTGATTATTATACATTTTATACCTGTATCAAAATATCTCATGTACTCCATAAATATATACAACTACTCTGTACTCACAAAAACTAAAACTGAAAAATAGTTAGTAGGCAAAGAACATGAAAAGATACCTCTCAAAAGGTAGCATACAAGTGGCCAACAAACATGTGAAAAAATTCTCATCACCACTACTCATCAGAGAAATGCAAATCAAAATCACAATGAGATACCATCTCACACCAGACAGAATGGTTATTATTAAAAAGTCAAAAAATAACAGATGCTGGCAAGGTTGTGAGGAAAAGGGAGCACTTATATACTGTTGTTGAGAAAGGAGAATGTAAATTAGTTCAGCCACTGTGGAAAGCAGTTTGGAGATTTCTCAAATAACTATAAACAGAACTACCATTCAAGCTAGCCACCCCAGTATAGCCAAAGGAAAACAAATCACTCTACAAAAAAGACACATTCACTTGTATGTTCATCACAGCACTATTCACAATAGCAAAGACATGGAATCAACCTAGGTGTTTATCAATGGTGGAATCGATAAAGAAAATGTGGTACAGATACACCATTGAATACTACACAGCCATAAAAAAGAAAAAGATTATGCCCTTTGCAACAATATGGTTGGAGCCAGAGGCCACAATCCTAAGTGAATTAATGCAGGAGCAGACAATCAAATACCTTTTGTGGGAGCTAAACATTGAATACACATGAACATAGAGATGGGAACAGTGGACCCCAAGCAGTACTAGAGTGGGAAAAGAGAAACAGGGTGTGGGTTGCAAAGCTACTTTTTTGGTCACTAACTTGATGAGATCCATACCTCAAACCACAACATCACAAAATATACCCATGTAACAAACTTGCAGATGTAATTCCCTTAATCTAAAATAACATTTGAAAAAAAATTAAGCAACACTGACTTGTATTTATATAATTTATATGGAACTAGGCAACACTGACTGACTTTGTTGCCCAGAGTGAAGTGCAGTGGCGTGATCTTGGCTCACTGCAGCATCAAACTCCTGGGTTCCAGAGATCCTTCCCCAGCAGTCTCCCAAATAGCTAGGACTACAGGTGTACACCACCACACCTGGCTAATTTTTAAACTTTTTGTAGAGATGGGGGTCTGACTATGTTGCCTAGGATGTATATGGATTCTTTCTTTATTAATAGCACTTCTTTACCATATTTAGAATGTTTTTCTCTAAACTGTAATAGTAATTGTTAGGACTTACCTAGTATAGTAACTGCCTTTGGCAAAATAAATTTATTGACAACGAGGGTTATTAGGCATAATAACACTCCATGAAATAATATCTAGAATCGAAAAAAATGCCAAGTAAGTATTCATGACAGTTTCATATAATATAGCCTATATTTACCAATTCCAATGAAGCTAGGTTGTGCTATGTTAATAGATGCTTATGGCAAGGGAGGGATTAATCTAAGACATGATCAAATTACTCTGGGTATTCTTTATCTTCCTGCACATAATTCATCCATGTTTTGTTACCAAACCAAAATTAGGATAAGAGTTTTGACAAGTAAATCAATACTTATACAGACACTGTAAAGGAATATTTGTCCTTGACTTCCACTGTTGCACTTCCCGGTAGGTGAGAATACACTTGTACTTTATCAATCCTTATCCACTATATACACCTTGCTGTGCATAGCCACACCGTTCTCTGTTCAACATTACCAGCATATCTGTATCAAATAATTCTCCTCATCTGGGAAAAGAGAACAACTCAAGGCCCTTGATATGTTTTCTCCACCTCACATTTTGCCTCATTGGTACCCTTTCATTGTCAGGAAGAAGGAGCAAAAAATGTCTTTGATGCCACCTGATATCTTTATTGACTTGTTTCCCAAATCAGTCTTGATAGACAAGTGAACTAACACATTTCAATCTGAGGCTACACATTTTAGGAGATTTATGGAATTCTAACTTCCAGAATTTATGTTTAGCCCTAGCTAGTCTTCTGTTCTATAGCCACAGATGGAATTAGGGACAGAGCACAAACTACACTGGAGGCTCCCAAGGCTGCCAATTAGAATCACTAAGGAAACTTTAAAATATTGGTTCCCAGGAGGTCCCCACTGAATATTCTGATCTAATTCTTCAAGGGTGCAGCCCAAGTATTGGTAATAAGGAACTTAATGTACATACACTGAAATGTACTCATGTACCATTTAATCAATTTTGACAGTATATATATACTCAGATAACTCTCAATCCTATCAAGATGCAAAGTAGTCTCACATCACCAACATTTCTCTAATGTATCTTCCTAATCAGTCCTCCACCAATGAGGCAACTAGTATTTTGATTTCTACTTCTGTAGATAACAATGGCCAATTCTAAAATCTTCATATAAATTAAATAGCAAATGATGTGTCTCATGATTTTAATTTGCATTTCCTTAGACTAATAACGTTGAATATTTTTAACACATATATTAGTACACATCTTTCTTTTTGAAGAAGTGTCTGTTCAAATATCTTGTACATTTTTTTTAAAAGTTGGGTTACCATTGTATTTTTCTTCAAAAAATTTTAGAGTTTTGGATTTTATATTTAACTACGGTCCATCTCAAATCAGTTTTAGGTATGGTGTAAGGTAAAAATTGAGGTTTTCTTTTTTTTTTCTAAGTAAATCCAGTAGGTCAGCATCATTTATTGAAAAAGATATTTTTTCTTTCATTGAACTGTTTCAGAATCTGTGTCAAAAACCAATTCATCATATAAACGTGTCTTTTTTGAATTCTTTGTTATACTTCATCTTTTTTTATTCTTATGCCAGCACGCCACTGATAATACTAATTATACTGTATTTTATATTAAGTCCTGATATAAGATAGTATAAGTCCTTCAATTTGGTTCTTCCTTTTCAAAATTATTAGGGCTAGTCTCAGTCTTCTGTATTTCTATACAGAGTTTAGATTTTGTGTATCTGTTTCTAAAATCTTCTGGGATTGGAATTGCATTAAGTATGGTGACATCTCAATAATTCCAGGCCAACAAAGATGGAGTTGATCCAAGATGGCTGAATAGATACAACTCCAGCACACAACACCCAGCAAGAGAGACACAGAAATCAAGAGATCTCCTAGCTCCAACCGAGGTACCAGGTGCATTTCAACGGGTATGGTCCGACAGTGAGCAAAGTCCACTCAGGGCAGACCCAGGCAGGGAGGGGTGCTGCTTCACCCAGCAAGTGCATCTGACCTGTGAGTCGGAGGCTCCCCTCTGGCACTCCGGTCCAGATACAGCACTTCCCCCAAAACCTCAGCAATAAACAGAACAGGGGATCTTGCCAGTCAAGTGCTGGCAATTACAAGTGCAGAGTTGAATAATAATCCAGGATGGTGTCCCAGATTGGTTCACAGACCTAAACAGATGCATAAGCCCAAAAGGTGGCCGGTAGAACCTGGAGAGAGAGCTATTGTCCCCTCCCCACCGCCCAGAGAGAGGAAGCTGAAAGGCAGAGATGGCCAGGTGCTGCTGGGCAGGTCCTTCCCCTCCCCCACAAACTCCAGAGGGCTGAAGCTCTGACTCTAGTGGATTATGCAGCCAGTGCCACAGTCTGAGCTGAACCCTGAATGATCCAGCCCGGTGGAGGAAAGGCACAACCCATCATAGGAGGGGTCGGATTGGGCTACATGTTTTAACAAAAAACACAGGAAGCTTACGTAGCAAAGGGATGTCATTCTTGACAACCCAGCAGCACCTACAGGTCAGCAGAAGAGGCGGGCCTAATCTTCCAGTATAAACAAAAAAGATATAGGAAGCTCCCCTAGTAATCTGAAGGAGTCCCTAGAAACCCAGTAGCGCCTCCACAGGCAGACAAGCGACCTCATCAAGCAGCTCCCTGACAACACAGCCAGGTAAACCCACAAAGATGGGAAAAAAAAAAACCCGTACAAAAAAGATGAAACCATCAAAGACCAGAACACCTCTTCTCCTTCAAAGGATCACAACTCTTCAACAACACGGGATCACATCATTACTGAGAAGGAGTGCGATGAATTAACAGAAACATGCTTCAGAAGACAGAGAATAACAAACCCTTCTGAGCTAAATGAACACTTTAATTTAGTTAAAGTTCTAACTCAATGCAAAGAAGCAAAAAACCTTGAAAAAACGTTAAACGAAATGCTATCTAGAATAACCAGCTTAGAGAAGAACATAAACGACATGATGCAGTTGAAAAACACAGCACGAGAACTACGTGAAGCAAACACAAGATTTCATAGCTGAATTGATTAAGCAGAAGAAAGGATATCAGAGATTGAAGATCAACTCAATGAAATATAAAGAGAAGGCAAGACAAGAAAAAAGTGAAAAGAAATGAACAAAGCCTCCAAGAAATATAGGACTATGCGAAAAGACCTAACCTACACTTGATTGGTGTACCTAAATATGATGGGGAGAATGAATCCAAGCTGGAAAACATGCTACAGGATATTATCCAGAATTTCACAAGCCTATCAGGCAGTCCAAATTTCAAATTCAAGAAAAACAGAGAATTCCACAAAGCTATTCCTCAAGAAGAGCAACCCCAAGGCACATAATGTCAGATTTACCAGGGTAGAAATGAAGGAAAAAATGCTGAGGGCAGCCAGAGAGAAAGGTCAGGTCACCTACAGAGGGAAGCCAATCAGACTCACAGCAGATCTCTCAGCAGAAACCCTACATGCCAGAAGAGAGTGGGGGCCAATATTTAACATCCTTAAAGAAAAGAACTTTCAACCCAGAATCTCATATCCAGCCAAACTAAGCTTCGTAAGTGAAGGAGAAATAAAATCCTTTACAGACAAGCAATTCCTGAGAGATTTTGTCACCAGAAGACCTGCCCCACAAGAGCTCCTGAAAAAAACACTAAGCACGGAAAGGAACAAGTACCAGTCACTGCAAAAGCAAACCGGTGGGCAAAGACCAAAAATACAATGAATGAGTCAACTAATGGGAAAGAAAACCAGCCAATAACAAAATGGCAAGATCAAATTCACACATAACAATAGTAACCTTGAATGTAAACGGCCTAAACGCCCCAATCAAAAGACACGGACTGGCAAACTGGATAAAATCTCAAAACCCATCAGTGTGATGTATTCAGGAAACTCATCTCACATACAAAGACACACATAGACTCAAAATAAAGAAATGGAAGAAGATTTGCTAAGCAAATGGAGAACAAAAAAAAGCAGGGGTTGCAATCCTAGTCTCTGATAAAAGTGACTTCAAACCAACAAAGATCAAAACAGACAAAGAAGGACACTACCTAATGGTAAAAGGATCAATCTAACAAGAAGAGCTAACGATCCTAAATATATATGCACCCAACACAGGAGCACCGACATACATAAAGCAAGTTCTTAAAGACCTAAAATGAGATTTAGACTCCCACACAATAATAGTGGGAGACTTCAACACTCCACTGTCAATATTAGACATATCAATGAGACAGAAAATTAACAAGGATATCCAGGACTTGAATGCAGAGCTGCACCAAGCAGATCAAATAGACATATACAGAATGCTCCACCCAAATCCACAGAATATACATTTTTCTCAGCATCACATTGCACTTACTCTAAAACTGACATCATTGGAAGTAAATCACTCCTCAGCAAATGCAAAAGAACAGAAATCATAACAAACAGTCTATCAGACCACAGCACAATCAGACTAGAACTCAGGATTAAGAAACACTGAAACCCGCACAACTACTTGGAAACTGAACAACTTTCTTCTGAGTGTCTAGTGGATAAAAATGAAATGAGGGCAGAAATAAAGACATTCTTCAAAACCAATCAGAATGAAGATACAACTTACCAGAATCTCTGGGACACCTTTAAAGCAGTGTTGAGAAAAAATTTATAGTAATAAATGCCCACATGAGAAACAAGGAAATATCTAAAATTGACACCATATCATCAAAATTGAAAGAGCTAGAGGAGGAAGATAAAAAAACTCAAAAAGCTAGCAGAAGACAAGAAATAACTAAGATCAGAGCATAACTGAAGGAGATAGAGACATAAAAAGCACTTCAAAACATCAATAAATCCAAGAGCTGGTTTTTTGAAAAGATCAACAAAATAGACAGACCACTAGCCAGATTAATAAAAAAGGGAGAAGAATCAAATAGATTCAACAAAAAATGATTAAGAGGATATCACTGCTGATCCCACAGAAATACAAACTACCATCAGAGATTACTACAAACAGCTCTATGCACATAAACCAGTAAACCAGGAAGAAATGGATAAATTCCTAGACACTTGTACTCTACCTAAACCAGGAGGAAGTTG